GGTGACACCGTGGGGACACTGGGGCACAGGTGGAGTCACACAGAGATCCTGTGAGGAGCAGAGACCCCCGAGGTGGTGGCGGTCCCCCATTTGTCCCTGGTGGTGACACAGGTGGGGTGACGCCACATCACCAGGGGGTGCAGGAGCTCCAGGGTGGCAGGTGACCCCCGTGTGTCCCTCTCTGTCCCCAGCTGTGGCTGTGAATGTCGGCAGGACCCTCCTGTTCCTGGTCCTGCTCCTGGGTGTTGTCGGGGGCTGTCACTGCTGGTACCGCGTGGGTGGGTGACAGTGGAGGGGCCCTGGGGGGGTGGTAGGAAGCCCCCCAGACTGGGGAGGCCATGGGGTGACACCCASAGTGATCTCCCAGTGACCTTGGCTTGGGGTCTGGGGTGGGCTGGGGAGATTTTGGAGGGGCTTGAGTTGGCTCCTGGGGCAGCCCTGGTAGGCTGAGGAATACTTGGGTGGTACTGGGAGATCCTGGGGGGTTTGGGGAGGTCCTGAAGGGTCGTGCAGGGATGTTGGGGGATCTTCAGGGATCCTGGGGGAGTTTGGGGCCTCCCCCTGCCCACCAAGCTTGGGGTTCTAGGGCCAAATGGGGGTTGGGGTTGCCAGGGTGGTTCAGGGGGTTTGGGGGCTCTGGAGGGGCTCAGGGATCCTGGAGGGAGTCAGGGGTCCCATTGGGGTTGCGGGGTCTACTGGRGGCTCAGGGGCCCCTGAGACCTCACAGTCACCCCCCACTTTTCCTTGCAGCTGTCAGGAAGCCCTGGGACAGGTAAGTGGGGGCCTCCAGCTGTGACCCTCTTTTCCCTCTTCCTGACACCCTGCTGACACCCCCTCRTCCCCACAGGGCCCCCCCACAGCTCAGGGTCCCCCCGCAGGAGGTGGAGCTGCTGGACACTCATGTTGTGCGCACCGAGTGGGTGGGAGGTGAGTACAGGGTGGGGACAGGGATACGTCACCCACGGGTGTCACCCCCCCCTTGGGTACACCCAACTGGTGTCTCTTGCAGGGTCCCCCAGCAATGCTCCCCACCCTGGGACCCCCAGGTGACCGTGGGTCTCCAGTGATGCTCCAAGGACGTGCTGTGACCCTGGGGGGACTGGGAGCACTGGAGGCTCTGGGGGTCCCCTCATGGGCATCCCCATGTGTGTGTCCCCCACGACTCCCAGGGTGCCCATCCTGCCCTTGGGGTGGTCATGAGTTGGGGGGGGCCTGCACAGGACACCCAGTGCTTGCCCTTCCCCCTCCCAGTGYTCCCAGTACCCTCAGTGGGTTCCCCAGTCTGTGCCCATAATGCTCCCAGTATTCCCAGGGGGTCCTTATTCCTGTTCCAGCGCCTCTACACTGCTCCCAGTACCCCCAGTGGCTCCTCACTCCCTGTCCCAGTTCCAGGGGGGCACAGGACCTGTTTCCCTGCTATTGGACCCAAAATGCAACTTTTTGGTTGAATTGGCACAAATGGTGTTGGTTTGTTCAGCTCTGCCGTGGTTTAGGAATGAAATATTCCAGTTCTGTGCTTCCACTGAAAACCAGGAGCTGCTCCCCCTCCAACTGGAGTCACAAAAGGCAAAGATCACAGGCTGAGATAAGGATTTACTGGAAACAGCAATGAGATAAGAAAATGTACAGGAACAGCAACAATAATGATAATAGAAGAGATAAGAAAATAAAGGATTTAAAGGTAAAATCCCTGACAATAAACAAACCCCCGATGGCTCCCCTGACATGTTTTCTTGACCAAGAGAACSTGTTCTCCTGGGAACAGCCAGGGAATCCCTTTCCCTGCCCCTGGCACTGACCTGAGGTGGTACCAAATAACCTCCCAGTCTTGGCCATGTCCCTTCCCAGCTACTGCAGGAATTATCTCTGTCCTGGCTGGAACCAGGACATTCTCCATCCCTTATTCTGTACCATCTCCATCATGCCCAGATCCTACAGTTTCCCCCTATTTACAGATACTCAAATACATAAATACACACAGGTATCATTCCACAGTCCATGGCTGGCCCTCCAAGGTGTCTGTTGAGTTCATTCAGTCCTGGCTGTGGGTTCTGATCATCCTTGGTGTCTCCCAGGGCAGCAGGGCTGCTGTGCTCTTGGCCGGTYACTGCAMCCAGAGCTTCCAGCTGGTGTCTSTGGAGCTGTCCATCCTCACTGGCCATGGCACTTATGGCAAACAGTGGCAGTGCCATTCAGCCACTAATATCATGCAATTCAACATCACAGACTGTTCTCACCCCAAAATCAAATCACCTTGAAGGACACATTGTGTTTCCCCGTCCCTCTACATCTCCCACCAGCAGCACCCAGGTCCTTGAGCAGAACAATCCCCAGAATGGGTTTGCCTTTATGTGAAGCAGGATTGATCCAAACTGTCTTCCCTGACCCATTCCTCATACACACCATGGGCACTTTATCCTCTTCTATGGCACTCAGAGGTTTGGATTGGGCCAGCTCAGCTGGGATATCCTCAGGTATTCACTGACCAGCTGGCCTTTGCTAAAATGCAGATCCCAACGTTTGAAGGTCCCACTACTTGCTGATCTCAGTGTAACAGTCCATTCCACAGCTTGTTCTTTCAGGGAATGTGACACTCACTCAGTGCCAGGTGGCCTCCAGGCCCTGGTGTCTGTGGGGTTGTTTCAGGAATGAGTCCCATTGTCTGATTCCATTCTTTGTGCAGTACTGTATCACCCTAGGACTGGCTTTTCCAGACAGTGTTCTGGTGGTGCTGAGGTACAGGCTGCATTTCCAGCCATCCCTGTGGTTGCTTCCCCCATTGTTACCACATGGTTCCTGCTGTCACAGCTTTGGGGAGTGTGACCTGCTTCATCTGCCAGGCCTACCTGGACCTGTATTTCAGCCACTGTCCTCCATACCACAGAGGCTGTTGGGACGTGTTCGATTGCAGTGCATGGCTCACCCTCATGGATGACCTGGGACATGGTGCTCATGGTTGAACCCACCCCTCCATATGGTGCATCACTTCCTTAATGCCCTGAGGTGTCACCGACCCAC